ACATCGCGCCATCTTCCTCAGCGATCATTCGGAAGTACTTTCGGGAACTATCATTTTCCACGTGTAAGCTGAATTCAGTCCCTTGGTGATGATTTCTTCAGACTTGGAAAGTCCCAAGCCCAGGACATAAAATTCTAAGCTTGTCAGCCCATGGTTCTCATGTATTCATGAGACCATCTCGTTAGGGATTCTGTGGTGTCACTTTAGAGTGATACAGAACTAGAGGTGCATTTTTGGGAAAAAAGAAAAGCATGGGAGAATATCGGCGACGCAGATGTACTCCCAATTTGCGCACGAGATTCAGCGTAATACTAGAAAAGTTGGATGCATGGCGCACTCCAGCGAACTTAACGGACGTCGAGGGCTCCGATTCCGGTTCTAACATCGTTTTCAGAGGGAGACTTATAATCACCTCCAGTGCTTACCATAATTCCGGATAATTCTCGCAGAGTGTATGTTCCAACACCCCCACCCTATTGCTCATAAAAGCCGCGGCCGTGCTTTCAGATCGCACTGGGGCTCCGGAACAAATACAATTGCCAACACAGCCGAATACCCCAAGGGTTGGAACACGCTTAATTGTGCGAGACATATTTTGAAAACATGCTCGCACACATACACGCTACGATGGATTTGCATGTTGCCGTCAGAATAACAGTGTTCTCGACAACACAACGACTATGGGGAGCTCCGCATATCCTGCATGCGTTGTTTTCCGTTCGTTTCTCAGAGTGATGCCAGTCGGGCCACTCAACATCAGAAAGCGGTGTTGTTGGTCTGTTTGTTCCCTGAAGAATGAAGCAACCAACAGCTCCACGCATGCACGGTGTGATATTTCCAGCAAGGATAATCGCTCTAAGCAATTCTACCGAGCTACCCCAAAAAATGCGTGACGAATGTTTCGCTGTTGAGATACCGACCACAAATGGCGGCTGTTTACTGCTCATAAAGCGGGGGAGTGTGGAAAAATCACGAGGAGTAGCGGTCTCAAGAGACCTCAAAAAGGCCCCATGCACTATTTGGCTGTCTAGCGCCTCGTTCCGCTCGTTTCTTCATGAGATTCATCAGCCGTGTAAGCCGGCTAAAGCTATCAAAGCCTGCTTTCGTCATCAAAACCCTAATTAGAAAAAACTCCATTATTTGGAGAAGGCCTCTGAATCAAGCTAAATTTAGCTATTCAGGAGGACCCATCTTCTGCTTCCATGGCCCACTGATAATGTATCCTGCCAGTGGTCGATTAGCCCTTTAAAGGTAAAACGCAATGTCCTCAAGCGATCAGCTTTGCTTGAAGCCTCTCACTGAACGTCAGGTATCCCACAATGCAGATTCTTTTTGTTTGCATTTCCATATTTAAACTTGGAACCGCAAACGGAACACCAACTTTCACAGGTCTTTTTAAGCGAAAAGTACGAGTTAGTTCAGGTTTTTAGTCCAACCCCTCAGAGACCTGAGAAGGACACCGTGTGCGCGGCGTATCCCAAGGAGACACAATTTTTCATGAGCAATATATCTCTTTCTCAAATTTGGCGCATACTTCAGAAACCTCGAGAAAACCATGGTATTTTACCTAATACAGGGTAACGCATGGAGCTTCCAGCTTTGATAATCCTTTCCTAGGTTGCGCTACACATTTTGTTTCCAGTCAGACTTCTAGTGAGGCTTGAATGCCATTCGTCCTTTCAATGAGTGTTGAGAGCCAGCGATGTAATAAGTTGAAAGTTTTGTGCAGCCTGGACCAATAACAGAGCCTCGGATTGGTGGACATGGTTAGGTGGGTGAAGACGTTGCGAAGTGCGTTATAGATCGCAGATCTACTGCGTAGGTTGAGCGACATCATTCACAATACCATCTCCGCCCTTCTGCTAGGCAATATAACAAAATTTTTTCAAGAAACATCACAATGAACAAAAAAAAACATTTTTCGATAATCAAGTTTGGTACTAATCCTTTTCATCATTTTCTTTCTTTTTTGGACTCGCGCTAAGAAGATGGTTATGGAGTGGAAGCTTCGGAGTAGTGGCTGAGCCACCGTTCAAAAATTGAAGGCTTGGAAATCTAGCCCGATTCGCTGGGCGAAGCTGAGTAATGGCGGTCAACAGCCGAGACCCAGTCGTGATGATTACTTCAGATGGATCACGAGTTGGGAAATTGAAAAACCGCGCTTGAGGAATGGGACTCATCGAAGCTCCAAAAATGCTTCCACGTCAGGTCCCTGTCATTTTCTCAAGGCGTGAATCCCTCTTAACTCCGGTCATCTGCTTTCTCCTTTTTTTCACATTTTGAGAAGGGACGTTTCCGAAGCTTCATTAAAGGAATCTTCCGCGGAAAAAGCTCCGCCTCCATTACCACAGAAAAACGATACCCCTTAGGCCCCTAGCCTCATGAGCATAGCAAAAAGAACGGAACATAAGCGTTAGTTTCGATAATACTAATCCTACACACAAGACAAAATGATCACTCTTTCCGTGGAAGATTCCTTTAAGGTATCGTTTTCTGTGGTAATGAGGGCGGAGCTTTTTCCGTGGAAGATTCCTTTAAGTCTCACAGCACAGCAAATTTTTTTAATCTAAGGAGAGGAACCAATTGTACTCAGATTCCGCTACATCATCACGCTAATCAGAAGGAAAACTGAAAGCGCAGCACGAGGCCAAGTAAACCTCCACCTGAAACGTCATTTCGAGCCCGTCTGTTGTTTCCGCTCGTCGTGGATTCAATACGCCAGCATTGCACAACAGCACATTCAGGTCCGGAAATTGGCTTTTCACCTTGTCGGCAAAATGGGCAACCTGAAATCGAAATTGAAGAAAAGTCGACAAACTGCACTCGTTCGTCCGCTTGAAATGAGGAAGTAATAGAAAAGTTAACTAATAACTGCACTCATACAAGGTAAATGATTACATAGTTAACAACTGTATGCAGCACGTGATCGCCTTGTGAGGGCTTACCGCAATAGCGATCGTATTCATGATGGCACAAAACGGGTTAAGGTAGGGGCAGGGTTACCAAGGTGGATTGTCCACATAATATTTTGCCTTCTGCGCACTAATATTACTAGTTGTTTACAAATTCGAAAAGTCCATTAGGTTCATCGATAGTGATTGTCAATTTTTCGATCCCCCTTTTTCCTCCACCAGCCCTGAGGGGGTCATGGAACTTCAGAATTTTTCCCAACCTTAAGGTTGACGAAACTCCAAAAGACTAAAGTCCCTTTTTGAGAGCAATAAACGGAGCACAAGATGCTCCCCGATCTATACTGCGATACTTTCATTTCTTCAATTCAACCTAGGATGAACAGCAATCATTGACATCTTCTAAGGATGACCATTCGGAGCAATGTGCTTGATTCTTATTCTGCAAATCCATCTCGTCATATTTTGTGTCAGCGCGCCATGGAGTTTTCCTCCGGGCGGGCAATAAAAAAAGGAATCTACTGACTCTTCACACGAGTTGGTCTCTTGGGAGCACTAGCGGCAAAGGAAAACCACCCACAACACTCGGAGGCCAACCAGCATAGCGATCGCGGCAATGAACGGACGATGAAGGCGTGGGAAGAAATTGATCCCCACCTTCATCCGAACTTGAGCCGAAAAAGCAAATAAGACAGAATCGCAACAAAAACTCGAAACATTCAAAGACTATCGAAATAGAGCCATAGTTGCCATAAAAAAGCCGCTATCACGTTATACGGGGCATCCTCCTAGGACTAAGCTCAGAAGGGGCAAGAAGTTCGGGAGAAAGAAAACTGTTCACAACCCTCGAGTCTCTCTTCCCAGCCTAAGACTTAATTCCAATTTTATCAGAAAGGAGAAGTTTACGCGCTTCTAAATACACTGCTACCACAACGCCCCCATATCCTGCGATAGCGCCTGAAAAAGCTATAGAAAACCTTCATACCTCTTTCATGACGGACAGATCGGCAGCGATGTAGTCCACATTTGTTGGGTTTCCGGTCTCCTTGACAATTTGGTCTCGAGTCGCCTAAAAAAATGTGCTAACGTCATATCATGTCGGAGGTACTTTTAGTTCTTATAAATAAGCGTTTGCCGTGGGAAATGACGTCTTCAAGGCCGTGACGTCAAGGAAGTGGTCATCATGAGAAATTTTACTTTCAGAAAGTATAATTACCCCCTCCCCCCTCCCCCCAACTCATCTAAGAGGGCACAAAATAATCCAATAAAACCGCTGTCCATTCTTTTGTACAAACGCTGTTCTCAAGTGTAGCCTTTTTTATCGTTCAGTTGTTTTTCTTCGTGATGCTCTTGTTGACAGGGCACACCTTTTAGTTTATAAAAATAAATAGACAAACAAATAATCAGTTTCAATGTATTTGTGAATGTCTTAATCTTTGAGAAAACCCTTAAAAAACATCGCGTGAGCGGGGTAAACGGCCGAGTTTTTGACGAGGACCAGTCTCCCTCCCTCCCCGCCCCCCCCAGACTATATTCTCCAGGACGTCCCCGGACAATTTTAGCAATTGTTGGCAACATATAGGAAGTTGGCCTACTTCCTACTCTATTCATATATTTCGTCCAACCTGGGAACTCTATATATAAGGCGAAATCAATTTTCAGTCATGCATCCACCGATGAGTTGTACCCATGGAGATGGGCTGGGACCAGAACCATACCCCTGGGCTCTTGATGGCGTCACGACCGTTTTAAACCACACCGGCAATTTTGACTCCGGAAAGTTATCCGATGCATAGCGAGGCTTGATCAATCCACATCCATTGGTGACTCCCTTCACTTAACAGTTTCAATCTCCGATATAAAGAAGCCGTATGCAACGAAATGCATGGAGACCTCGAATTCCCCAGAGAGGCTCACTGAAGATGGAGCAAATCTAGTCGCGTTTGTTGCACACACATATTATATAACATTTGAAAGCGATTGCCGGAAAATCCCCATAAAAGTGGAGCTAAATGACTTGGAAATCACCTCGCATTTCTCTTCACTTCGTCCATGGATAATGACTCGATTATCCGGATGAGCGGCCAAGTCGGTGGCCGTTTGCTTGCCGATGCCATCCGTCGAGCCGGTGATCAGAATCGTTCGCTTGAACGACGATCCTGGCATCGAACGTTCGCCGTCTGCACCTCGGTCGGTGGTAGTATTCTGAAATGAACAGTACAGCCTTTGAAGCCATCCGTTTTTTAAACGCCATGGCGAGCTCGCTATGCAATGAAATGATGCCCGAGGAGAACCAACCAATAGCTTTATTGGAATTCTCATAGGAAATGAAGCATAGAAAGGGGAAAACGGTAGTGATGGAACAAGAAATTTAATTTCCAGGAAAGCTAGCCTAGAAAGTCAGAAAAACACGATCATAGTCCACATTTCAATGTAATATTAATCAACCTACACAGAATCACGCTGCCTCTTCGAAATCAATCTCTATTATATCCTATTGAGCCACTCTGATTGTAATAGAAGAAAATCAAGGGGTTGCATGAATGTTCATGATAAGAAGGGTAGTGGAAAGCGTAGAAGGTGCCCAAGTAGACGATAGGTGCGACTT